TATGTATTATATGTCTGTTCCCTCATGGGAAGATGTAATTTTAAGCTCCTTGAGATCAAGGACCTTGTATCCCTGTGTCCATAGTGCCTTATACATTACAACATACAATAAATAGTTGTTTAATGAAGAAATAGATACTCATTTGCTCGGAACTACCCTCAAAATATATCTGGAAGCTGAACACGTCTCTCTTTTTATTGTTACCACTGTAGTTCAGACTCCATCTCTCCTCCCTGGATTTCTTAATAAGAACAAGTGTTTCTCACTTCCTCTCTTGCCAATAACACCACCCCCCACCCCACCTCCAGTCTTTCTTTACATAGGTCGTAAGTTTATTTTTTTATTTTTATTTTTTTAATCCTCATCTGAGGACATTTTTCCATTTTTTGTACAGACAGAGTGGGAGGGAGAGAGAGGAAGAGAGAGAGAGGGAAACATCGATGTGAAAGGGACACATCGAGTGGCTGCCACCCGCACGACCAACCAGGGCCGGGGACAAACTGCAACCGAGGTACATGCCCTTAGCGGGAACCGAACCCAGGCCTCTCCGGACCACAGGCTGACGCTCTAACCGCTGAGCCAAACCGGCTAGGGCGTAAGTTTATTTTTTTATCCTCACCTGAGGATATGTTTTTGTATTTATTGATTTTAGAAAGAGACAGAAACATTGATATGAGAGAGAAACATCGATTGGTTGCCTCCTTATACGCCCATACTGGGGATTGAACCTGCATCCTTTTGGTATACAGGATGATGCTCCAACCAACTGAGCCACCAAGCCAGGGCTTATGTTATTTTTTAAAAAGGTAAATGGACTGTGACACTCCCTTGCTTATAAACCTCCAGTGCTTTCCCATTGCATCAAGAATGGAATCTAGACAATATGCTCAATTAATATTTGAGAAAGGGGGCAAGAGCATACAGTGGAGTAAAGACAGCCTCTTTAATAAATGGTGTTGGGAAAATTGGACAGCTACATGCAAAAAAATGAAACTAGACCATCAACTTACACCATACACAAGAATAAACTCAAAATGGGTAAAAGACTTAAATGGGACTCATGAATCCATAAAAATCCTAGAAGAAAATGTAAGCAACAAAATTTCAGACATCATACGCAGCAGAATTTTCACTGGTACATCACCTAAGGCAATAGAAACAAAGGAGAAAATGAACACATGGGACTACATCAAACTCAAAACCTTCTGCACAGCAAAAGAAACAACTACCAAAATGGAAAGGCAACCCACTCGATGAGAGAGCATAATTGCCAATGATATATCAGATATGGGGTTAATTTCCAATGTATATAGAGTGCTCATACAACTCAACAAAAGGAAGACAAAGAACTAAATTAAAAAATGGGCAGAAGACCTAAATAGACACCTCTCCAAAAAGGACATACAAAAGGCTAAGAGACATATGAAGGAATGCTCAACATCACTAATTATCAGAGAGATGCAAATTAAAACAACAATGAGGTATCACCTCACACCTGTCAGAATGGCCGCCAGCAACAAATCATCAAAGAAGTGTTGGCGAGGGTGTGGAGAAAAGGGGACTCTAGTACACTGCTGGTGGGAATGCAGACTAGTGCAGCCACTATGGAAATCAATATGGTGTTACCTCAAAAAGTTAAAAATTGAACTGCCATTTGACCCAGTGATCCCGCTTCTAGGAATATACCCTAAGAAGCCTGAGACACCAATCAGAAAGAATATATGTACTCCCATGTTCATAGCAGCACTATTTACAATAGCTAAGATCTGGAAACAGCCCAAGTGTCTATCAGTAGACGAATGGATAAAAAAGCAGTGGTACATTTACACAATGAAGTACTATGCAGCTGTAAGAAAGATCTCTTATCCTTTGAGACGACATGGAGGGACCTGGAGAGTATTATCTTAAGCGAAACAAGCCAAGCAGAGGAAAACAAATATCACATGATCTCACTTATTTGTGGAATATAATGAACATAACAGTCTGAGGAACAGGGTAGTCTCAGAGACGTGGAACTGGGGTACAGACTGACAATCCCCAGAAGAGGGGGTGGTGGAGGAGAGATAATCCACAGAACTTACATGCATGTATGCATGAACAATGGACATGGACAACAAAGCTGGGACGGGGGGGGAGGGGGGGGAGGGTATCAGTGTGTGTGGGGGGAACATCTGTAACAAAAATAAATAAATTAAAAAAAAAAAAAAAAAGAATGAAATCTAAACTCTTTGCTCTCACTGACCTGGCCCAGATGACTCACCCTCTGTCCTCTTTGCTGTACCTTAGGTACTTTATATTTTGTACTTTATACTTATTGAGTGAGCCAAGGCTTGTCCCTGTCCAGGCTTTGATGTTTACAGCTTCTGCAGGGAACCCCTTCCAGTAGTTTGCGTGGCTGGTTTAGAATTCAACTCTCAGCCAGAATGTTTCCACTTTCCCAGTTACGATCATATTATTGTGTTTTCTTCTTAGAACTGATCACTGTCTGACATTATTTGTCTATTGTCTGTCCCCCCACCAAAGCTTAGATTTTTGTCATTCAATTTTGCCCTTGTATATCCTGTGTGTAGAGCAGTAACTGGAATACTGTAGGTACTAAATAAATATTCATTGGATAGATGAATGAATGTTGAATAAACGAATTAATTAAATGTCAGATGAGGAAAATGCCATAGAATATTGTAAGTGGAAGGTTACTAGATAGATAGTAAATAAGCTGTATCAGCAGTTGGAATTTGTGTAAAATGGTGGGAAAAGTTCAATGCAGATTTTGATAGACTAATTCGACACTTATAATTGTGTAAACATTGGCAATTGCCTCTGTAAAGAGGCTGATAATAACTACCTTTAAGAATTTTTCATCTTAAATGTTACTGTATATGAAAATTATAGTATAATTGTGTTGCACAAAAAGGCATTTAACAAACATTATTAAAAGTAATATCTGATTAACAATGGAAATTTGCCAAGTGTAGAAATGGGCAGAGAGGCATTTATAACAGTTAAAATTTTGGTGGCTGCATCAACTTATGCTGTGTGTATAGTGTGTGTGAGTGTTGAGATAAATATAAAATACACATGGTTTAACAAGCAATTGTAAAGTTAGCATCTATTTAACTACAATTTAACTGAAGAAAGATCATTTCCAGACCCTCAGAAGCCTTCCCATACATGTATTCCTCCCCAACCACAACCTATGCCTTTCCCCCAGAAGTAATCACAAAATTTATTTTTGTAATTAATACTTTCCTTGGTTTTCTTTTTCAAAAAATGTTTTTATTGATTTTTTGTTTTAGAGAGAGAGAGAGAGAAACATGGATCAGCTGCCTCCTGCATGCCCCCTGCCGGGGATCGAGCCCACAACCTGGGCTCGTGCCCTGACTGGGAATCAAACCAGGACCTCTCAGTTTATGTGACGACACTCAATCCACTGAGCTACACCAGCTGGGCTTCCCTTGTTTTTCTTTAGTTTTCTTAGCTGTTTATGCGTCATTAAATGATATGTTAGTTTTGCATGTTTTTGAACTTTATATAAATTACATTATGCTGTATGTATGTTTGTGTTTCTTTTTCTTTATATTCATGGTATTGCATGCATCAAATTCACTGATTTTTATTACTACCTAGGATGCCATTTAAGAACTTACCACCAGTAATGTATTTATTCTGCTACTGGATATTTGTATCGTTTACAATTGGATGCTGTTGTTAACAATCCTGCTAAGAACATTCATGTATATGTCTATGAGGTTCTCTAGGCCGTGGTATTTTCAGTTCTTTGCTAATTTTTTGTCTAGTTGCTTGAATTTGTTGTTTACTGCTGCTGTAACAAATTACCATGCATTGGCTTAAAACAACACAAAATTGCATCAGCCCAAGCACCAAAGGGTCCCGAGTTCAATTCTTGGTCAAGAGCACGTACCTGGGTTGCAGGTTCAATCCCCAGGGCCTGTGTCTGTCTCATCGACATTTCTCTCTCTCTCTCCCTCCGCTACTACTCCCTCTCTCTCTAAACAGCAATGGAAAAAATATCCTCAGATGAGGACTAACAACAACCCCCCCCACACACACACTCACTCAAAGTTATTATCTTACACTTTTATGAGTCTCAGTGGGTTGAGAGATAAAAGTATTAGACAATCTGTGGTAATTTCTGGTCATTTCCTTGGCTTTTCCAGTTTCTGTAGGTTGCCCATATTCCTTGGTTCACAGTCCTCTTTCTATAACTTCACAGTAGAAACAGAGGTTAAAACATCTTGAAGAATGTAACACTAAACAAGGTGGGAGGGACTGTTATAGTATTTCCACTTGCCCGTCTATGCTGAGACAGTCTGGTAACATGGTATATGAGTAAAAGATTTAAGCATTATGACCTGCCATATATTTACACAGCAACAGATAAAAAGTTGTTTTATAATATGTTGAGAGTAGACTCTTGAAGACTAAAAACTGTCAAGAACTGAAGAAAGTGTGCGTTTTGGACACCATGATAAATAGAAGGGGATGGATTTCTACAGGGATGGAAAGGGAGGGAATCAGAGAAGGACCCTCTGTTTAAGCTTATGAAAGGTATACCTACTTTGCATTCCTCTTTGTGGTCTCTGCGCTGGGGCATCCCTTCACTTTAATGAATACGGAATGGTTTAAAAATGCGTCCATTTCAGTGTGTGAAGTGAAGGACACTTAGGCTGACCCTAAGACTCACTGACAGGAAAAGAAGTCTTTCTAGAGTCGATATTCTTTAGCCATGCGGAATTTATTGAAAAACAAAAGCATGTTGGGAGATGGGTTTGGGAAACAGGGAACACAGAGGACAAAGAAAGGGTAATGGCGTGGGTAGGAGAGGAGAGAGATTTGGTCATTCTGTCTGACAGCCAGGCAGCGGCACATGTGACTAGTTGTTGACTGGAAAAGAAACTAAATATAAATTGAGCCCAGTAGGTGGATGGAGGATTTTCGCTGCCTGAGTCACAGCCAGAAGCCAGGAAGAGCATGGACTTCTAGAGCTTGTTGCAGAAAGGTTCACTCCGACAGCATATGATATGCATCCTGGTTCCATGGGAGAAGAGGCTCATAGATGGACACATGTTCTCACATCCCTGAACCATGAATTGAAGTTTTCCACCTGCAAGAAGCAGAGACAGACTGCAGTGAGCAGGAGGATTCCTCCTCCAACCGAAGCCTTCACCCTGGTCCTCAGTGTCCTCCTACGGCATGAGTGAGACCTCCCTTTCCATCTGCCTCTTCATCAGTTGCTCACTCCCTCTGTTGAGGGACCAGCAACTACAAGGGAAGTCAGGCAATGTGATTTACAGGATGGAAGTAACCAAGATCCCTTATTTTGGGGATGTGGAGTGAGTAGGAGAGTAGAGAGGTCTGGGAATATACTTGGACAGGTCTGACAACCCGTGGGCGCAGATGGTAGACACTTGTTTATTCATTTACTCAATATTTACTAAATGCCTATCATGTGCTGGGCAGTGTGCTAAGTGCTCAGAATGTATAGCCATGAACAAGATAGACACAGTCCTGAGCTTACACTCAGTGGCTCAAGGGGCAACTCGTATTTCTTTAATAAGAAGACACAGACGGTCTCCGTGCCTCCTTTTAAGACATAGGCCTGCTGGGAAGGGTCTCGACCTCTCCACCAGTAGCTGGAATTCTACTCTTAATTCCTGAAAGGATAAGATTTTCCTGAATCTCCACGTTTTGGGGAATCACAGCTGGATCTCTCCTCGTGCCTGTCCCCTCCCCCCACCCAACTACTCCCCATGAGAACTCAAGTTGGTTGACGTGTTCTCTGGCAAAGATTGCCTCGTGAAGTCCCCATGTACCTTCAAAGATCTTCTTTAACATGCACTGCTGGGAATTCTGAGTGGTACAGACACCCTCTCCACGAAGACATTTTCCTGCATCGTTCATATAAGAGCATGTGTGGCAATCTACTGCGGGGCCTGAAAAGGTAAGATAAGCCTGATAAAATTCTCTTGTGTACCAGGTATGTAGCCCTGAGTCACTCATCTGGGGAGGGATGATGGGCAACAAGTAGCCTGGATACAACACATTTCATTTCTTGGTTCTTGCTGGGGATCTGAAGGCCCTGTGTCTGATAGAGCACGTATTTTCCTCTGTACCAGAAGAAATTCCTTCATTCTTTCTGGTTCATCTATGATGTGCATCACTGATGGATCCCAAATGTCTCTCTCTGATACTGACTTTACTCCAATTCATATTCCCATTGACTTCCTGGACACTTATAATTCGATGCCCTTAAGAGCTACCATGTCTAACAATAGGAGCAAAGAAAAACTTACTACATGACTGACTCCCTTTTGTGCTCTCCACCATGCTCTCACTTACCCAAGGCACAAACAGGAGGAGTAAAATTGGACTGATAAGCTATGTTAGAATGCTCTAATTTTGCTAACCCTGTATCAGTCTCCATTTTTAAATTGACCTTTATGAGAAGGTCAGTTTGTCACAAAGGTCCTTCTCTTTGAAATACTTCCCTGTTGCCTCTTTTACTATTACCACTGCCAATTCCCTAGATAAGGAAGTATAAGAAGTGAAAAAAAATGGGGCTTTGGAGTCAGACCTAAGTTTGAATCCAAGGTTTGCTATTTTTTAACTTTGTGATATTAGTCTCACTTCTTTCATCTGAAATTTTGGGATACTCCTACTTAGGCAGTGGAGTGAAATATGAAGTATTTAAGTCTAGTGATAACTTGAGGCATCCAACTTTGGATCTTGTTTTCCTTCCTTGAACAACCCCTTTTTAGTAAGACCCAAAGACTTGCTGTTGTCCTGGGAACTTATTTCTGCACCTAACAGAGTGTCTTCATGCCGTACCTTTCGTGTTCAAACACACAAACCAAAACAAAGAGCCCCCATCTTCAGAGCTAGATATCTCTTTACAGGGTTTGCAAAGCATCCTAACATGGCCTGTTAGGAGGCAGATTTAGCGTGAAGTTCCTGAGGGTTAGTCTTCCAGGACCCCCTTCCAGGGGACCTGTGAGCATTTGTATCTATAATTTCTATGTAAAGTGAGGTTGAAGGGACTGCTGGTATCTTGTATTTGTGTTCTTTTTCTTAAAAGAGGGCCTTCCTAATTGTTTAGCCTGTAAAGAGAGTCTTTGGGAGAGCTGTTTGTGAAGTGTTTGTGAACTGTTCTTTCTTCTACACTCTTGGGTTTCTCGCTGCATTGCCTACTTGCTACCGGAAGTCAAGGACTGGCACCCGTCCAAATGTGGCTCACCTAAAACTTTGTTTGGCGACGAACTTCCTGAATCACTCGAAACCTCTTCACCCGAAGACTGTTCACTCGCAGCCTGTTCACCTGAAGCCTGTTCCCCCGAAGCCTGTTCACCTGAAGCCTGGTCACTGGAGGCCTGGTCACTGGAGGCCTGGTCACTGGAGGCCTGTTCGCTGGAAGCCTGTTCGTCGGAGGGCTGCTCACTGGAGGAGTGTTCACTTGCAACATGCTCACTCACAGCGGTGTGCTCGCCTGCAGCGTGTTTACCTGAGCCGCGTTCATTGGAGGAGCGTCCAAGGAAAGCGTGTTCGTCCGAGGCCCGCTTGTTCAAATCGTTCTTGCCTGAAGAGACCTCATATAAAGCCTCAATGTCTGAAGGGGTTGCAAGTGAAAAGGGCTCACCTGAAAATTTCTTAACTGCAGCTTGATGAACCACAGAGCCAGGGGGCTTATCAGGGTCACCTGATGCTCCTGGGACGGAGAAGGAACAGAAAAAAGATGGTGAAGGTGAATGAAAGTGTGTCTGGGGTAAAGACTACTTTCCTACGGAGTAAGGCTAATGTTGTGGGATTGCTAGGTTCCTGTGGGCCTATGTCAGGCAACTGAAGATATTACAGATATTGGAGGCAGTCAGCTAACTTACCCAAGAGACCATGAAGGACAGAGGTGTTAATGAAAAACACAGAGACCATCCCTGGGATAAAAGGGAAGAATTTTAAGATTGACAATATTAAGAAATGCACAGTGGGGGTGGGGCACTCACTCACTCATGAACCAAAACCACCTGAAGGAAAATTAATGTGCCTCCCTGACAAAGCAACATCTGGAAATGAACTCGTGCAATCGGAAGTTCATCACCAGCCCTCCCTCTAGGTCCTGTGTGGGTGAAAGGCAAGAGGGATAGAGATATAAGAGGGAGAAAGCAATTTGTTTCGGTAGCTGAATAATACTACCTGAAATTGAGGGTGGAAGATTTTAACCTTTGGATAGAATAATTTTAAACTAGAAATGACAAATATCAACCACCAAAGTGTCCTTCAACAGAGGATTGGATAAAGATGTGGTACACATACACAATGGAATACTACTCAGCCATAAGAAAAGATGAAAAACTGGTATTTGCAACAACATGGATGGACCTTGAGAATATTATGCGAAGTGAATAAGTCAGGCAGAAAAGAGCTAAGAACCATATGATTTCACTCATAAGTGGGAGACAAAACTGAAACTCATGAACACAAACAGCAAAGTGGTGGCTGCCAGAGGGAAGGGGGTGGGGTGGGGTGAAGGGGCCCTAATATATGGTGATGGAAGATGATTTGACTTTGAGTGGTGGACACACAGTACAATATACAGATCTTGTATTATAGAAACGTACACTTAAAACCCGTATGATCCTATTAACCAATGTCACCTCAATAAATTTAATTTAAAAAAAGAAAGAAATGGCCTGGCCAGAGTTGGTCAGTGGTTAGAGTGTCAGCCTGAAGACCAAGGGATCTTGGGTTTGATTCCCAGTCAAAGACATGTATGTACCTGGGTTGCAGGTTCAATCTCCAGCTCTGGTTGGGGAGCATGCAAGGAGGCAACCAATCAATGTGTCTCTTTCACACTGATGTTTCTCTCTCTCTCTCTTCCTCTCTCCCCTCCTTTCTACTCTCTCTAAAAACCAATGGAAAAAATATCCTCTAGTGAGGATTAACAAAAAAGTAAAAAGAAAAAAGAAAGAAATGACAAATATCTAATAAATCCAAACATTGTCAGAAGGAATTAAGACACCTTTATTTGGCAATTTCAAGTTCTTCCCCACACTCAATCCTCAATCTATATGGGCTGGAAACTCAAAGCAAAGTTGCTATCAATTTTATGATAAAAACATTCTTTACTTACTTATCTCTGAACTGAGATTCCGTGTGATATTTATACCTACTTCATGGAGTTGTCAATAAGATCAATTGTGATGTACCTAGTCTATTGCTAAAGTGCTCAGTTAATTTTAGTTTTCTCTCCTCCCTACCTTACATAATTAAAAGACTTTATTTTATTTATGACTTTCATTTTATTGAATGTAGCACCAAATAGAATTGGAGTTACTCTTTGATTTGACTGAATAACCTAGAGGAGGGCAAGTAGACTACTGTGACTGAGGTAGTCATAAGCTGAGAGGCATTGTAAGATCTTTGAAACTGAGGTTCTAAGACCCCAAACTACACCAGCTCAGTAAGAGTTCTGGTATTTATATATTCATTCTAGGTGATCTGCATCTTTAAAATCAATGACTTTTAGAAAAACTAGGATCTTAATATGGGGATAAAGGAAGAAGGGTAAGATTTAGTAAGGCTTTCAGTAGGTTTTTATTTTTAAAAAGTTATTACAGAATTACCTGCTTGACTGATTCTTCAATAGTTAAGAGAAGCTTTAATAAAGAGATAGTTCTGCTATAGAAAGGAAACTTGAGAAAGTACACTGATTTCTTAGTCATTCTTATAGTTTATGAGTCCCTGCTTCACCATGGGGTCAGCACATACTCCCACCTGGTAGCTACGTATCTACGTTTCTGAGTCAACCTCTGAAAATCTAAGAAAGCCAAAATCAAAATGTCTGAGAACTGCTGTTACAGGAAACAGTTTGTCATTAAACCAGCAGCTCAGAGTTCATGGCCTCTCTTCTGTGGGAGGGAGGAGGAAACACAGCCCACCATGAATTTGAGTCCTGAAAGAGGAGACACAGACAACTGGCAGCCACGAGAGAGACGTGTAGATCTCTGGCTCTCCGCCCTACTGTGTTCTGAGACAGCTTTCTGGGCACATTACGTTCCGTCTTCTTGTCTATTTCCTTGCTGCATTCACTGTGCAAGGGTCTCTTGCACTCAGCTCACTGACACAAGCCTTCACTGGGCTTGCACACAACACCTAGACTGATTTTCTCGTCTCACAGAGCATCAGCTGCAAGGACGGAGTGGCTGGAAGAAGGAGGAGCAGAACCGTGCCGAGCCAGTGGGCTCCTCTGACAGTAAAGCCATAACTAGAAGGAATCAAGTGGTTCAGGAGAGCTCAGAGTTGAACTTGTTTAGCCATTCCTGATTCTGAGTCAGATTGATTTCGGTAACTAAGATACTGATCTTCCTTCTACAAGGGCTGGAACACTTTCAAGAGGCCTCTAACAGATCTACCCAGAGCTAAGGCAGATGACTCACCGCTGGCAGATCCAAGCAGATAAAGACTCATCAGTAGGAGAAACTTCATCTGGATTTTGGGAAAGAAGGAACCCTGGTGTGGGGCCCCCGAGAGCTGTGAAGAAAAACTGTGAGCAGAAGCTCCCAGTACTGAGTCACTGCTTCTGGGAATTCTAGAACCTCAGAATCAACCCATGTTTGCTAACAATGGGTTGTGCTCTGAGGTTCTGAGGTTGGCCCCCGCAACAGCCAACCCATCAAACTGCACCAGTGCAGGCTATGTGTTTGCCACATGCGAGGTGATGTGTTGGGGCTCTCTGCCCTATTTTTAAAAATCTTATTCCCCAAATAACATATATCCTTTGTAATAAATGAAAAGCAATATTCTCTCTTCTTAAAGTGTTCTTGACAGTGAGATATGGCTGGCTGGTTATTTTCTGTTTGGTTCTCTAAATCAGCTTTTTTTTTTGGCCCCGTACCCCAGAAGGCTGACCTCTATTGACTTGATTCCCTGAGTGCTGGTTGGCTTTGGATTCGGATGATTGGCTTGAGTCACTAGAAGATTGGAGGAGGGAAATAGACACACGCACACACGCACACACGCACACGGAGTGGTTGGGAGGGAGGGAGAGAGACAAGAGAGAGAGACAGGAGAGAGAGAGACAGAGAGAGAGGGAGAGACAGAGAGTATAGAAGAGGAGGAGGAGAGAAGAGCAAGATTGAGATTGAAGTACTTGTTGTTCCTATTCCCGCCACAGTCCGACACTTTCTGGGTCTTTCTATGATGGAGTTTCTGTCAAGTGTTCTATCCTCCATGACTCCAGCTCTCAACCAGGCTATGGTAACATGTTTTTCTTCCCCTGCCCCCTAGGCCTAAGGATGATGATGGTTTCCGGCTGTGCTAAAATCTGAATACCCCAACTAACTAGTTTTCTTCCTCTCTCTCTCTCTCTCTCTCTCTCTCTCTCTCTCTCTCTCTCTTTGTCTTTCTTTCTCTTTCTGTTTCCTTAACCCTGTCCTCTTCTGTAAGTAGTCTCTTCATAAGGGTCCATAGTAACCATGGTTTTGGCAGGAAACAGATGACAAACTTAAATGTGTAACCGAAGAGAATTTACATTCTATGGGCATAGAAAAGGGATCAACAAGGGACAGGCGAAAGCTGTGCCTTGAGCTGTAACTTCTTTCCAGGGGAGCCAAGCTGAGAGGATGGATGCAGTGAGGCATCCCCTGGTATAAAGCTGGAGCTCTGTGGGGATTGCATAGCAGAGAGCCCGCAGCCTTCATCTACTTCTTTCCTGCCTGCCTCTCTTGGGCCACTGTGTTACATGTACCACTGAGTGCTAGATCAGAGTAGATGCTATTGATCCCTTTATAATGATTTGCTCAATGTTTGTTTCTTCCTTCAGACTCTAAATTCCTTGAGAGCAGGGTCCCTGTCTGAGTCACTGTTGTATCCCCTAGTACCTAGCAGCATATTTGCCACACAATATATTTTTCCTGAATGAAGGAATGAATGAATTACCTTTTCTGGGCCTCTCTCTGCCTCCATTCCAGACTTCGGGAATAAACACATCCCCTTCTCTTCTGCATTGGTTTATTTTTGTTTTTGTGTGTGTGTGTTTTTTTTTTAGATTTCACATATATGTGAAATCATATGACATTTGTCTTTTTCTGTCTGACGTATTTTGCTCAGTACAGTACTTTCTAGGTCCATTCATGTTGTTGCAGATGGCAAGATTTCATTCTTTTTTTTCACGGCTGAATCATTTTCCATAGTATATATATGCATCACTTCTTTATCCATTCATCTATGGATGGACCCTTGGGTTGCTTCCATATCTTGGCTATGATAAATAATGCTGCAATGAATATATGGATGCATATGTCTTTTCAATTTAGTGTTTTGGGTTTCTTTGGATAAATACCCATAAATGGCATTGTTGGGTTCTTTGTTGTCTCTTGTTACAGCCTTTGTTTTAAAGTCTATTTTGTCTTATAAGTATTGCTACTCCTGTCTCTAAAGTGAGTTTTTGGTAGACAGCATATGTAAGGGTCTTGTTATTTATTCAACCACCATATGTCTTTTGATTGGAGAATTTAATCCATGAACATATAAAGTAATTGTCAATAAATATGTATTTATTGCCACTTTATTATTCATATTTGTTATCCTTTTTTTCTTCTTAAAGAAGACCCTTTAACATTTCTTGTAATATTGTTTTTTGTGTGTTTTTTTTGTGATGAACTCCTTTAGCTTTTTCTTATCTGTGTATTTTTTATTTCTGACTAGTTCTTTTATATGTTTCTATCTCCATTTTTATCTTCCTATCTCTTTGTTGAAGTTCTCACTAAGTTCATCTCTTCTTCCCCTAAGTTCATTGATCATCCTTACAACCAGGGTTTGGAAATCTGGATCTAGCAGATTGTTAGTCTCCGTTTTGTTTGGTTCTTTTTCTGGAGTTTTGTTCAGTCTCCTCATTTTGTGTGCCTCCCTGTGTTTATTCTATGTATTAGTCAGAGCTGCTATGTCTCGTGGGTTTGGTAGAGTGCACTTTTATAGTGGATGCCCTGTAGGGCCCAGTGAGGCAACCTGCCTGGTCATCCGAGCTGGGTGCCCCAGGTATGCCTCCATGTGGCCTGTGTACACCCCCCTGTTGTAGTTGAGCTTCGATTGCTGGTGGCACCTCAATGGGAGGGATTGACTTCCAGGACTGGCCATGATTAATATGGAGGACCTGCTGGGCAGGGGCCAATTCCGCGGAACAGAGCTTGCTTCACCCCAAGGAGTCCACCCCATGAGTGTGTCAACTTGCAGAGGTGATTGGGTGGTGCTCCAGCGTGTATGAAGCTGTCCACTGGGTATGCTGGCTCTGGGGCTTCCTGGGAGGTACAGGCCAAGATTAGCTTCTGCCTGTGCCCTGCCCAGGGCCACCAGCATGAGCTACAGAAAGAGCTGCAGATGACTGCTACTTGTGCTGGGCTTGGAGGTGCCCAGGAGAAGCCAAGCTGGGAACCAAGGCTGGCTGCCGCTAGTGCCAGGCCCAGGGTCGCTTAGCCAGAGGTACAGGGCATGCCAAGGCCCGCTGCTTCTGTTTGGGGTTTGTGAACCTTTGAGAAATTTTAGGAAAGTCCAAAGCAGGAGTCCAGACAGGCCACTTGTATGGAAAAGCCCCTGGAAATGGCTTGGGTGGGCAGATTCTCAAAGAATTGCCAGGGCAGGGCTAACAGTGTTAGCAGGTTGATTGAGACACATATACGAGGTGCCACCTCTGTAGGGGAGGGAAGGCCCAGCAGAGGAACGATGGCCTTTGCCAACACGGTCTGGGAGAAGCTGCCCCTCTAGCCCTCGCCCCAGTGCCAGATAATTCAGTTTCTCCTCATATGTCCCTGGTGCCTTTCAAGCCGCTGTCCGAATACTGGAGCTCAGCACGGGGTGTGAGTAACTCCATGCGTGTAGGACCTTGACGAGGAATGCCTGAGACTCTAGAGCCCTCTGTCTCACTCAGCCCCAGTCCCTGCTGATGTTACAGTCAGGAGGTGTTGGAGCCTCTCTTCCTGGCATCAGAACTCTGGGCTGGGGGCTCCGTGTGAGGCTGGGACCACTTGTTCCTTAGGGGAACCTCCACAGCTGGGATATTCCTTCCTATTGTTATTTTTATTTTTTACACCACGTACAAGTGTGCAACCAGCCTGTTCTGCATCTCTGTCCCTCTTACCAATCCCGCTGTGGCATTTTCTGGATATCCTTGTTTATAAGACTTCTGTTCAGCTAAATTTCAGGCAGTTCTGAGTGACGGCTATTCTGTAGTTTAGTTGTAATTTTGTGGTTGTGGGAGGATTCGAGTACCACATTTACCTATCCATCACCTTGATGGGAAGCCCATTACCTGTACTTTTAAGGGCATTTAGTTCTATTGTATGTGAATGCTGGAAATACTACACAATGTATGCAATCTTTTGTCTGTACTTGTCACTGATTAAGGCTGTCAGCAACCTTTACTGTACAAGGGACCGCACGGCCCCCAAGCCCTGGAGTTCTGCCACCTTTGTGCCAAGCTCAGTTCTTGCCCTGAATGTTCCCCGAGGCTGCAACCCTGGTGCTCAGGACTCTGCCATCCCTGGGTGCAATTGTAGCTGTTTCTCCTTTTACTCCTTGGGATTCTACCAGGGAGCCAGGCTACCTTCTTGTCATTGAGGACAAGGAGGAGAATTAACAAACAGCACACAAAGTATGCCGTGAAATGACCAGCGTGCACACCTGTTCTTACATTTACGTCATGTAACAGAGAAAAGGATTGCAGGGAGTATGGGCAACACAGGGCTAGCTGGGAGGATCCTTAGTTCCCAGAACTCAGGAAAGAGGAAAGATGTGAGGCAGAGATTTCAGGGGCACCAGCAAGGCATCCTGGTTATCAAGAGGGTGTGGGAGTCGTTGCTGGGACTGCAAGGCCACATTGGGGGTGGGTGGATCTGGGGTGACACTGCTGGGATCAGAGCTGAGTGACGTGCGTATTCCTTAATGAGTCTCCCCTTGGGGCCTGGGTTGATCCTGCAGCAGCCTGGGAGGAACTGAATTCCTGCCTCCGTCATTTTAATAAATATATTAAAATGACGCATGCTCTCCCAACCTAGGAGACATGTCATCTGCCCCCAATCCCGTGTCATGTTGAGTCCCTCAGCACCCCACAGACGAGAGTGGGTCTTGTCTGTCTTTCCACTGCAGGAAGGAGGTGGGGCAGCCCGAGATCTGGGGGAGCTCGAGTGACTGGGCCCTCGAGAAGGAGAAGCTGCAGAGAGTGGAGAAAAGAACACCCTAGGCCTGTGCGAAGCAGCCGGTGCAACCCGTCCCCCGTCCGGGGTGGGGCTAAGCGGAGTCCCAGAAGAACAATTTACTCAGAACCTTATTTTTAGCAGATGACAAAAATTTATTTCTACACTCTAAGAACGGGATGGAGCCGAGGAACCAGAAAGTGCAGGTTTATTGAGGGAAATACCTGCCGGGCAGCCTCCAAGAAGAGCCCAGCAGCCTGTTCCAGCAGCAGCGGTCAGTGCAGACCAAGGGTTTTTAAACTTAGGGCTGGGGTGGGGGCTGCCCGCCGAGGGGTCGCGGTGTCCTTGATCGGTCGGGGCTGGGGTCTTTCCCAGAGTTGTTCTTCTCGTGGAGCGGCTGTTTAGGTTTGGGTGGGGGTTCAGGACACTGCTCCGCCTGGCCGGAGGGATAAGCTTTGGTTTCCTGGAACAAGGGGCTTGGGGCGAGGTTAAACAGTAAGAGGCTGGGGGTAGTAATATGGAAGTTAAAGTTAACATACACCAACAAGAAAGAACAGATGCACCCCTATGTTCATAGCAGCACTATTTACAATTGCTAAGATCTGGAAATAGCCCAAGTGCCCATCAGTGATGAGTGGATAAAAAAGGTCTGGTACATGTACACAATGGAACACTATGTAGCTGCAAGAAAGAAAGATCTCTTATCCTAAGTGAAACAAGCCAAGCAGAGAAAGACACATATCACATGATCTAACTTATATGTGGAATATAATGAACAAAACAAACTGATGAACAAAATAGAACCAAAGACATGGAAGTGGGGTGCAGACTGACAAACCTCAGAAGAGGGGGTGGGTGATGAAGAGATAAACCGCAGAACTTATATGCATGTATGGGTAACCAATGGAGTAGACAACAAGGCTGGGGACAGGGCGGGGGGGGGGGGGATTGGGAAGAGGGTGTCAATGGGGGAAAAAGGAGAAACATCTGTAACAAAAACAAATTAATACAAAAATTATTTCTGATGAAACATATCCATTCAGTTCGTAATGTGGAACTGGGGACCTTCCGTGTCTAAAGGAGCCACATCTCTGGCAGCAGGAATCTGTCTTCTGGTGTTTGAATAGCCTTGGCCTCGCTCCCATTGGCTGCTCCTTCCAGCCTGTTATATATAAAGCTGGACAGATACACAGGGGTGGGTGCCTGCAGGTCTGTCTTACCTTCTGCTGCTCCCTGGTCCTGGGTCAGGGATGGGTACCCGTCTTCTGCTGCTGCTGGGCCTCTCCTTGCTTTGGGGCTCCCTGCAAGGTGAGTCCCTCTGGGGCATCTGGGAGGACCATGGGTACCGGTGTAGGTGAGCAGACTCACTGGGGGGCTATGGATTGAGGGGGAATGGGGAAGTGAGTAATAGGCACAGGACCTACCCTTAACCTGAGAGCTGGTCACAGCCCTCATGACACCCTCTCCCCTCCCCTCTGCCTCCTCTCCTTCGCCTCTTCCACGCGGCCCCTCTGCCCCTCCCGTCCTCACCCCTCAGTCCTCACTTCACTTAAGCCTCCACCTCCCTCCCAGCTCATCTCTAACCTCTGGTACTCCCCACTTCTTCAGGCTTTCTTGCTGAGAGCCCTACATTGGGGTCGAAAGGGAGCAAAGAAAGCTTTTTGTCTGTGGACTGTGATGTGGGGTCAGGCAGACTGTGGGCTAGGACTTGACCTTCCGCCAGCAGCACAGTCCACAGCTGGGAGTTGAGGGGCATCCTGTCTGTACCTGAGCGCAAACCCTGCCCCCAGGCACGCATGCCTCCTGCCAGGTCCCTGGGGGTGGGAACCGGCACTGTGGGCTGCTGGGCTGAGGGTGTGCTCCCTCCCTGAGCCGCAGGGAGCCTGGGCCCCCAGAGCCTCATTGTGCTGGTGTTGACTTTTCAGCTCTGACCTGTTTCAAGTGTGATCTAGTCCGTGCCAGTGGGGTTTGCGAGAGTGGGGGAGGCGTCTGCCAGACTGGACACAGCCAGCGGTGCTTTCTGAAGAAGGTGTATGCAGGTAGGGGCCTGAGGTCTCCCGAACTTTGCCGACTTTGATGGAGGGGACTCTCTCAGGAGCCCTGGGGGCAGAAGCAGAGAGTGGAGAAGTTTTTTTTCCCCTAAAAAGTTGGGGAAGTGTCGGGATCTGATGCTGGACCGGCGCCATGGACCAGACCAATAGATTTGTCAGGCGAAAAGGTGCTTGTGGAGGGGTCCCTGGGTCCTTGTGTAGTCCCCATACATACTCGGGGGTGACAGGAGTGGACTATACAAATCCTACTGGAGCTTGTTTGTGGTACCGATTTGGGAACTGGAGGCATTGGTGAGGGCAAGATTAGAGGCTGGGGGAGGGCAGCCCAGCAGGGGCCCACTCATCCAACGGGGGCCGATGTCCCTTCCTACCTGGCAGTCTGACTTCTCAGAAGAATGTGCTGTTTGTTTCTCTCCATTCACTGAACCACTTATTTTTTTCTTTGACAGATTTTCATATTTTACCTCTTATGTGGCAAACACTTCAACTTGAAGGCCACACATCAGAAATCCTCTTTCTTTGTCTTTCTTCCTCTCC